GACCTTTATCATAGTGTTTTTACTGGACCGGGCGAAGCCGAGTATGCCAGCTAGTAAATAGTAAAAGAGGGCGCTTTCAACCTTATACCTTTATTCATGGGGTGAGCGACAACAGGCAAAAGACTAGTGTGAAGTAATGAGGCGGAAAGGGGAAGGGGGAGTAAAAGTCAAACGGATCTCGTGATTTTTTGGAGTTAAAGAGGGCTTTGTTTTCAAATCTCCCTGGTAGATAATGCAGTCCTGTGCCAGCAGGTGGGAGAGCACGGAGAATAGCGTGTTTTTTTGAAAGAGGAAGATGTCGGCATCTTGACCTGCCCCTACCACGTCGAGATGCTGACATCTGTATGCTTGAGTCTTATGGCAATATGGTATAGTTTCCGTCTCAGCTAACAAATCTGAGATCAATTCCTTCTTAGAGACTATCGTCAAAATTCGTACTTGAAGTGACTGACTGCGGACTAAAGATCATATGGACTTATCAAGCCCTATGACTGGTCCGCGAGCATGCCATGTTGGAGTTGGCAACTTTAGGAATGTGTACCAACTTGCCGGCATCATTTAAGCTGCCAAACAGGATGGATTACTACCGACCCAGCTCTATTTTGATGAGAAAGTAAAGTGAAAGAGCAGCGGTCTGCTCTTCGCTCGTATGCAAACTTCCTCGCCCAACCCCACAGAATGCAATGTTGGGCAGATGAATTGCAACTAGAAGCCCTTGCGGCAATGACTTAAAGACACGGCGCAAGTCAGCACAGTCAGTATCCGCTACACTGCTCTCAATCACAGGGCTTTTATGCATGAGTGTATTAAGGAATCGATTACCAGATACTGCCTACGTCTGAAAAACACATTTCCACCTCCAGCTGCAAGCAGCATAGGCAGTGGATCTTCGGGAAGTCCATAACGTGGCGTCATTAGTGCGGAAGCCGGATGATTGTTGCATGGATACCCAAACAAACTGGCATGCGTAGCAGCTATCTGAGGTCGAGTGATGCCACCGAGCAGTCTCTCAGAGCCAAACATCGGATTGTAAGCCTGAATACAAGATCTACTTTTGAGAGTTGCTAGCAGAATCATATAAAATCATTACGCATGCTTAGGTGTCCGAACGAAACTCAATTATGTCAGCC